ACAGGTATATTTTTGCGGGTGGGGGGGATGCGGGGGAAAACCTAGGAGCAGCCCAAGCAGGCATGGGCCGTGTGCTACTAGTGTGCCCAGGGACTTGCCCTTAGCTCCCTGGCACCGAGGACCAGAATACGCTACCCAGTCCTCTATAGCTGATGGTATACTGCATTGCTGTATAATGTATTGCTGAGATTTGTAGTCCTCTATAGCCAGTTGCCATTCTGCACTTCTGTTTTAATGTATTGCTGGGATTTGTAGTCCTCTATACAGTGGCAGAACTAGCAGGGTCACAGCGTTTGAAGCTGCGACCAGGCCCTAGCATTCTGCCAGTTGGAAGGGCCCAGAAAGGAGGAAGGGGGCCCTGCTAACCGCCGGCATTGCAGGTTACCGGGCCCCCCTTCCTTCAGTCTGGGGCCCTCCATCCTCCACATTGTGTCTGGACCGTGTGTATCACAAAGCTGCACATAAAGAAAACACAGTTATGTGCAGTATGGATGACCCATTTTAATGACAGTAGTGTGCCAAATGTTGTTTGGTAGGGATTCCATTCCTGCACACAAAAGTGTCAGGATGTGTAAAAAAAAAGGCAAAAGTGCTGGTAAACAAAACAAACAACTGCAACGTAATGTAGTATTGCAATATTCTGTCCTGTAAGCAACACCTTATTTTCTGGCAGTACCCCTTTGAAGAAGAGACGCTGGATTTTTGGATTTGCTTTAGTCATAGACTGTAGCATGAGAGGGAGGTTACAAAGCACAGCATCATTTGACCAAATTCTATGACTTTCTCTGTCCCTAGAGCAGTGGTTCTCAACCTGTGTAACCTTCTGACCCACATTTGTCCTTGGTCATTAACTCGCGACCCAAGTTGCACTGCAATAGAATGCACAGCATTAAGGCACCGCGCATTCCGGTGCAGACGTAAGAACTGTGGGTGGGAGGTGCGTGTGGGGTACCATTCAAATTAATGGAAACAAAACACACCTCCCACACCAGAATGTGATATAGGGCACGTGAGGGAGCTGTATTAAATGCATGTATGGATGGAGCTCCCTCACTGCCATAGCCCATCGCATTGCACCTAAAGCTGACACTCGGTGCCGGGCAGCATGTTTTGAATGGCTGCTTGGCGCGAGAACTGACAGTGCTGCACTAGGGGGAGGCAGAGGAGCTTCTCACCTAGAAAAGTGGAAGGCATGCAGCGACCCACTGAAAATGGGGTCGTACCAGATGAGAACCAAGGCCCTAGAGCATACTTGGTACACCACACAGGACTTCAGTAGACATGTGTTAAGGCTTGGTGTGAACCTAGTTCCTTCAAGCCCATGCAAAACTGTGGCTGACACACACACCCTGGCCCAATCAGCTGCGCCAATTTGTAATGTGTAGCTGTGGGGCAGTTAAACGTCAGCTTATTCATCAGTAATCACTGAAAAGGTTTGCTACAATGCTCATTTATGGAGACAACTTGACTAAAATACACTCAATAGTGGAAGAATGTTGAATGTAAAAATTCTATTCTTCAGTTTGTGATTGTAAATGAAGTGTTAAAAACAGGTGGTATTTATCAAAACTGGAGCAGACAAAATCTAGAGCAGATTTGCACTGCAGCCAATCAGCTTCTATCTTTCATTTTCAAATCATACCTGAGCAAACGGAAGAGAGATGCTGATTGGTTCCCATGGGCAACTGCTCCAGATTCTGTTTTGCTCCAGTTTTGATTAGTTCCCCCCACTATATATGCCATGCATCATGGTAGAAAAGCAGGTAGGCATGTACTTAATTGGAAAAGCACTCTTCATATGTCAACCCAGTGTGCTTTGCCCCCACTGACCCCCAACTTCCATGCCCTGTGCTGGGCCAGCCCAGGTGTGCTTTCCTATGATGACCAACACATGAGACAGCTAGATAGAAGACTATGGCCAATCCCACCTACCATCAGCTGGCTGTAGGGCGAAGTCTGAATTTCAGATAGAAGGAAAGGTTTAGAGAATATGTCAGGCCTATATTTCCATCTGTGTTGCCACTGGGGGGATTTCCACCCACTTACTGTCCCTAACAATGGGAAATCTTTCCAATGGAGACACAAGAAACAATAAAAAAAAAAACAAGTTTAGTAAAATGGAGAAGGATAAAGGTATCCTACAGATATTAGTAGGTATTGTTTGGGTAGACATCATAGGTTTGTGTGTGTCTATGTGTGTGTAGAGGTGGGAGGGGGGGGGGGGGGGGGATAGAGGCTCACAAGCTCTGAAGTGAATGGTGACCATGTTGCATATGTAGCAGTATGTATCAGAGGTTCATATTAATTGAAGTGAATGGCGACCATGTTGCATATGTAGCAGTACATATCAGGGGTTCATATTCACTGAAGTGAATGGTGACCATGTTGCATATGTAGCCCTTACAGATCATAGGTTTATATTAATTGAAGTGAATGGTGGCCATGTTTCATATGTAGCAGTACAGATCAGAGGTTCATATTAATTGTAGTGCATGGAGACCAGGTTTCGAATGTAGCAGTATAGATCAGAGGTTCATGTTAACTGAAGTGAGTGGAGACCATGTTGCATATGTAGCAATAGATATCAGTGGTTCATATTAATTGAAGTGAATGGAGACCATGTTGGATATGTAGCAGTACAGATCAGAGGTTTATATTATTTAAAGTGAATGGTGATCATGTTGAATATGGAGCAGGACAGATCTGAGGTTCATATTAAAGTAAATGGTGACCAGTACAGATCAGAGGCTCACTTATGTTTTAAGTGCTTTTAGTATTTCCACAGGAAATCAGGAAATAATCAACAGGAACCAACCAAACCACTTGACAACAATCCAACGTACACCCAACAATTGCTTACAATTCCCTGCTTCTCTATTAAAATGCAATGTACCTTATCCTTGGATAAGCAACGGTGGCAGTCACAGCTGAAACAATACTGGCGCTGCAATTGGACCTGGCGTAAATGTGTGGGCATCTTCACGTCAATGTAACTAATGGTCAACTGTAAAATGAGAAACAATAGGTTATATTTACTATATGAACACACATGAAACAGTCAAAGCAGGGAAACTTGAAGTATACAATAATACTTGATGCTTGAAGCAGGGATACTTCAAGTATGCAATAATTATAGAAAAATATGAACAAACTTAATAAACATTTTGGGGAATCATTTGGAAAAGATAAATTCATATTAATAACAGTTAAAGTGGCACATTGATTACATATCTATGTTGAAGTTTAAAAATATGAATATGAATGAAATGTTTTTACTATAATTTTTTAGTTGTCTGTGACTCATTGGCAAGATTTTTTTCCCCACAACAGGAAATGCAAAAAAACAAATCTTTCCCAAGTCAAGTGTAAAAAGATACTTGTCAAAGTTCCCCTTTTAGAAGATTTCCATTTTATTCCTGTTCTGAGGACAAATGTAAAATTTTCATTTCCATGATAGTAACCATAAAGGGGTTAACCTCTCCAGCAGATTCACAGACAGAGGTTGTCACTATACCCTACTATTCTGGCTTTGGATACAATGAAATAATAATAATTTTGAATACTAAAATTAACAAACTGTTGTCGCCTTTTCTTTGGAAACATTTTAAAATGTGACCATTACCATTTCTGTACTTGTGGGTGGGTGATGTATTTTATGGGCCTCAGAATTATTTTAATTTTAAATTCCATTTGACCTACGGTATATTGAACAGAAAAGCCACAAAGCATACTGTGAATATACAAACAAAAAATAACAGCAAGCTTGCATTAGTAATACCACTGCTGACCTTCCGTGAATACGAATTGCCTGTCTGCCAAAACAGTGTGCTACATTATCATTGCTTGTTGGAAGCAATGTATGATGGGATATGTAGTCTTGCGAGATAAAGATTGCATTGCTTCAAGCAGCAGTGAAAAGACACAAAGCACACTGGGAGTCCAGGAAGTTGATGAAAGTGATGGGCAGACGAAGGCAGCACTCACCACATAAAAATGATTTTTTCTAATAAGCTTTGATTGTATTATCAAAAACAACTCTAGTATGTATTCCTATTACAATGCTGATGTTATAACAGGATAGTATATGCTGGGACCTTAGCACTCAGTTATAACTCAATTATATTATATATATTGTTAAATTTGACAAAGGATTACAATGATCTCACAAAATAAAAATTAAATAAAAATGATTGGATTGAAAATGTGGTCACTTGGCTTTTTTTACAAGTAAGCTTTGATTGTATATATCAAAAACAACTCTAGTATGTATTCCTATTACAATGCTGACGTTATAATAAGATAGTATATGCTGAGACTTTATAACGTATTTAAAACTGAAATTTATGAGATACTACTGACTTAGAACAAATTTTCACCTTTACCCTGGCTTCATACTAATTCTAGGTCTGTGACTCAAAGTATTAAAGCCAGAGGATCCGTATTACAGCCAGCTGGTTAGGAATTGCAGAAGGGATTTGGCAATGGCTGTATATGTATTCCTCCCAGGAAAAATTTCCAATATCATGAGTAGAAGCGCAGCCAGAATATCAAGAGTAGCTGAAGCGGAGAAGCTAAGATGTGCTCCTCAGGAGTTCAAACTATTGTGGAGAAAATAATGTAGTCTTAAAAGCAGAAATCAATAGCCTGTGTGTTGCAACCAAGAATAGCTCCCCATTTATTTTCTCTTTGCTTTCTCCAAGTTTCCTAGGGCACCGATTTATTCAAATAGAAGTTCTTTCAATAATGGCGCTATTTGTGCTTTCTAAATATTCAGATTCAAAATCCCCAGCTGTTACCCTATTAACAGACACATGTGTTTTCTTTTAGATGTTTCAAAGCAAGCAACCAAGTACCTTTTATTTTGACATAAAAAATAAAAAAGGAATTAACGATTATATTTATATTTGTAGATGTGTTATTAAAATGAACAATTAAAGCAAATTCATTCATTAATTTTCCCCCCTTTATTTTGACCGGGTGATCCTGCCAGTAAAACACATCCTGTCCTAAGATGACAACGATCACTCACTGTACTGCATCTAGAAAGGAGCAGTGCTGCCACCCAGGACTACAGAACACCACCTCCTCTTTACAACTCAGTAACATATGGCACACCTGGCCATTTTACGGCCCGTGGACCAAATCCAGCCCTTTGGCTGTCCCTGTCGGGCACACAGTCCACACACAGACCGATTGCCGATCGGTGTTTACTTATGGCTGACTGACAGAGGATGTGTCAGCCTTTAAGGCCAGTGCAACCACTACAAGCCATAGCCCCGAACAGGCCCCCTCCTTTTCAGTTATTGGTTGTCAGGACTGCTGGCGTCCTAGCAACCAATGAAGTCAGGTGTCCACCTCCTCTGCAGTCAACCAGTGTCAACCAAATGTCTTCCCCACCTCCAGCATTACAGGAGTACAGAATAGTATATTCTTCTGTCTTCTCCTGCAGCCTGCTGCACCTCCTGGCTGCCGCATCTTGCCTAATAATAAAACAGGAAAATAAGGTATGCAGGGACAATAATATAAAGGAGCACTCTAAAGTGGGCAAACAATGTAAGTGTGCCCCCCTTACATCAGTTGCAACCATCAGAGTGCTCTCTGACATTAATCACGGAAGTTGAGGGCACTCTGATGGGAACAACAAATGTAAGGGGGCACTTTACATTATTAGTTGCATCCATCAGAGTGCCCCCTACATTAGTTGCCCCCTATCAGATATTTTATCAATCTACATATATGCGTGTGTGCCTACACAACTTCACAGTAAAGTGTTGGTCCTGCACAACAGTCCCAGTTTCTCGTGTGGCCCTTTGAGAAAATGAATTGCTCACCCCTGACATAGAAGGAAAGTGTTCTGTTGAAGTGCAAGAATAAACATGTAGGAAGTCACAACAACTATGAAAGTAAAACTAAAGTCAAAACATTTATTTAGTATTATTATTAACATTATTATTAATAATAATAATATTTGTATTAATAATAACATTTGGTTTGTTGTCTGTGACCCATTTGGGGAATTTTTCTTCACTTGCTGTCCCAGAGGCACAACGGATGTTACAAAGAATTAGTCTTTTTAACGTCAAGGATGAAATTATTTACCAAACATGCTTACAGGACATTTCCTCCTTTCCACATTTCCGTAACATGGGGGATGGAGTTTTGTAGTTTGCAAAGGTGATTTGCACAGGGCTGATAACATCGCATAGGATTTCAGCACAGCACAGGCAGAGAACGCAGGCGGTTACAAGCTCACTGGATTTCTGGCAGAATGAAAGGGTATTTTTCTTTACTTGCAGTGTTTTTAAAGAGACAAAACAAACGGAAATGTGCTTATGTTGAACACATTTTTTGAATAAGTTTTTTTTCTACTGCAAGATTATGTTGTTAAAAAAAAACGACAGACACCCAAACACAATCATGTAAACAAGAAAGAAACACTTATTTTGGAATCTGTGGCTCTGCACTGTTCTTCTGACCATCTGGCTTTTCTGTACAAAAATATTTGAGTACTCTCGAAGGATATTCAGTTAAAACAGAGCCAAATCTCAAGGTTATTAATTTAGCTATTTCATAACTTGAGAGAAAAATTACTTTGCAGTGCCTAATCACTAATCAGCCTCACATAAGGAGGGCCAAGGGGTAAAGCAAATGCAAAAGGGGAATTGAAGCTGAACACAGAAGAACTTTAATTTAAATATGTTCCTTAACAGCTACAAAGGATATAAATCAATTTTGCATCCATCCAAAGTCTTTGCAGACCCAGAAATAACCTTATAAAACCAGCACCGAGCACATGCACCCACTACAGGCTGCCTGCAAAAACTACAGGAGGGGACAGAGACAAAACCAGTCACCCTCACAAGGAGAGGGAGCAGGAGTGACTGGTCTTTATTACAGGAAGCTCCTGCACAGAAGCAAGTGGACTACTGCATAGATCTGGAAGGAACACACAAAGTTCACCAAGATTCAACTATAAATACACAAGGCTCTTGTATTTAGAAAAGATTTGCTTATACTGGAGTTCAGCTTTAAAGGTGAATTATGAGGTGAGTGCTTTTCACTCAGCCTCATAATCTGAGCCGACCTGTGACAATGAAACTGTCACAGATCGGCTCAGTAGATCGAGAAGTGAGCGAACACATACCGGCGCTCGCTCATTTCTCGATCCTGTCACTGCAGAGAGCCGTGACAGGGGAGTGACTGGATTATCCACACCCCTGTCCGATCCACCAGCGCAGACTGGCGGAACGGATGGGGGAGGGTACAGCTGGCTCGGCCTCTAGATAGGCAGAGCCAGCTGTCACTCACGGAGCTGGGCGGATCCAGACATATCCGTTTCAGCTGCGGCGTCTCAGTATACCGTGAGCTTTGGGTAACTGGAGGACGCTAGTTTGTGTCCTTCCGTTACCCTTCGGAGAAGGGTTTATAAAGCCAAAACTTTTTTTTCTTTTTGCTTTGAACATAGTAAGGTACGGTTAGAAGGCCATTCATTTATTTTTTTCCTGCGTGTGTTATAATCGGGGATTTCACTTCCCTTTCAGTACCAGAGACAAAACAAGGTTATGCGACAGTTGTCCCAGCTGGGAGATTTCCCCCTCACCTCCTGACAACTGTAAAAATTTGATTTTACAATCAACCAGAACAATTGAGATGGTGACTTTCCCCAGCCAACAGTGAAAACCTGATAGAGGTCCCAACGTGTCCTTGTTACATTGAAAACTAGAAAGTGGAGTTGTAGTTCAGAAGGAAGGCTCTGTGAGGGTTATGACACAAGGAAGTGGGTATTTGCATATTGATACAGCTGAGGGAAACTGTGTCAGTGCATTGAGGAAGTACATCCTAAAGGCATCTTTAATAAGCAAGTTGACAAACTTCAAGATCAATATGGTTATTAGGAGTGGGATAGAACTTAGAAATTCAATATAGAACTATATATTTATTTTTAGTTTTTGACCATAGATACTCTTCAAGATGAACATTAGAAACGGAGAAAACCTGAAATTA